TACTTTTTTAATGTTGTTTTCTAGTTTATTAAAGAATTTTATACCCATATAGTACGGACTCTTTTCAGACAGTGTTAGTCGGTGTGTTGGATACAAAATGTTTCCCGTGCGGGTGTTATGATCCTGGTTAAGTAAGTATAAAATTTATGTTTTCAGAACAAGCAATATTTTCAATAAATGCTTCTTGCAGCTCAGTATATGCAATAAACTCAATATATGCTCAGTATGTGCAATAAACAGTAATGCACAGTTCTTTAGACGAATTGTTTTAATTCATTTATCAATCAAGTTATTATTTACATTAGTATAAGTACTTATATGCGTATGTTTCGGCCTAGGTTTTTACTAGTTTTTTGTAGGAAACTTGGTTTATTTTACTAAATAACGAAGCTGAAACTCAGCTTTGGTTAAAACATCATAGGTCATTATCATCATCCAATATTAATAGGTTGGTAGATTTAAATAGATAGTTGATTTTTACCAATCATGAGTTTGTGTAAAATTTTAAATCTGATGATGGCGCTGTTGTCTCGCCGAATCGTAATGAAATAAACGATGTTCAAAAATTTTTACTTCACACTTTGAGTGAGACCTAGAAAAGATAAGCATATCATAATATTAATAGGTTGTAATAGAAATAGAAAGTACTTTATTTGGATTATTAACTAAAAACGAACTTTTCTATAAAGACACCTGAGGAAATTGATCTCGAATGCATTTATGTCACACCATTGAATTAGCCTCAGACTTATAGACATATTACTTTGATACCAATATATGGATCAGGGATTAAACAATAATTAACTGAGTCATCGAAATAGTTATCTACGGAAGACAGCAAAACAACAGGAAGGAAAATTCCAAAGGTGCGGTAAACAAAAACGGAAATGAGAGCCGCTTTTGCAGTAAAATGGCCCGGTTACTATCTACAAATGGAAATACAAATGAGAATTCCTTGCTGTTGCAAAACAAATATGTATGTTGGTCAAATGATATCGTTGGCCAATCTTATGGAGAAATTTCGAAGAAGTCTCATAAAGTTCGAGATGATTATCCGGAAAAATTCTGCATTCACGGATCAGATGAAACAATATCGACAGCTTTAAAAAATATTGTTGAATAGCAAAAATATATTACATGATAAGAAATTGCATTCAACTATGTGCACAATGTGGACAATTTATTTCAAAAGCCACTAGTTTCAAAATTAGTTGTAAACGATCTGTAGAGCATTCGCTAACGCGCTCATGGAAAACCAGCTTTGTACATTTAAATAAAGTATAGTAGTCTATTTTTACCCCGAATGGGTGATGTTAACGGCTATTTTATTTTTTTGCGTTTTGTCCAGACTGGGCCACTGTTTGCGTAGAGGAGATTTAAACAAATTATAACCAAAACTGCACCTTTTTCATGCATATGAATTCAAATCATTTCAATTGACATCAACTTGAAATTTTTGCTCGTTACCCTGAAGTCGTTAATTTAAGCTTACACGAGTTTCATCGTAGCCCCACAAATATAGTTGTAAACTGACTACGAGAGCTCATAGTCGGTGCCTAAGGCAGCAAGTGAAACTACGAGTTACTTCAGAGTTGGCAGTCAAAGTGTTAATAGTGACCAGATAAGATTGCCTGAACTGCTGCACGAGATAAAGCAGATTAGTTCAGGAGCCATACATCTGATATACGATTAAATATAGATAACTACCGAAAGACTATTTTAGGACTACCGTTCTAACTTTGCAACTTAGAACTTAGGAAGATTGAAATGCAATTAAACTGGGTAGCGTTATGAAATTAACAATTGTATTTCTTAGCATCTCCTGGTAGTATATGATATTTCTAGGAAACCTTGCAGTAAAGTGTCCATGAATTATATACTGTGAACAAAATGATGATTGCTAATTAATTATAAATTTTAGTGGGCAATAGACGTTGGATTTATGAGTGACTGGGACAGACAGTTAGGTTATTTATGGCTGAAGAATTGAAATGTAAATGTATATAAATATTACTAGTGAGGTAATATAAACCTATAGGTGACCATCGCTAATAGAAAAATTTTCTTCAAAACCTTCCGCATTTGCCCAATCAAGGACTGAACTAAGAGCTAAAGATAGACATTGTCCATGTGCGCGTTAGTCGCTAACAGCAAACAGTAGTTTCTTTAATGGGATAATTACGTAAACTGATTTGTTCAAGAATTATTCGCGTTTTACCTCACGTAAATTATTGCCGATGTGTTTCTAATGCTTGACCATTGGGAAATAATGTTAACAGTATCGGATGTCTAGTCCATTAAGCAATGTAGTTTCCCATTTACTTAGTTCATATACAGATATAGATCTTGCATAACGCATGAGGGTAATTTGCAGGTTTTCCAGTAAGAAAACCGGAACTTTGCCCAACAACATAAGGGATTACTATGTTAGAATATCAAAAAAATCTTCTAGTTTTTAATTGTCCATTTAGGTCCACTATATGGTTTAGGAATGTATCTGTCGTTTATTTGTCCACTAATTCTCAAAGGAGATTTAATCAACTTTCAACGAGAAGCAACTGAAATTTTTGGATCTCATAGGTAAATTGGTATGGTCTCTAATAATCGTAAAACTTTTAGATGTCTCTACGCATTCTTCTAAGGTCAATGAAATGACAATCTTAATGTTTTTAAATAAGCCGTGAAGTGCATTTAAAGTCAAGATATGTTTGGTAATTTTACTTTAAAACTACATAAGTATACGTTATCCGGCATGTTAAAGCCATATACTGCAACGAATTCATTTAATTCAAGTGGTTAAAATTTACTTACAAAAACTTATCATTTTTATTTCGCTTAATAACTTGCCTAGCATTAATTCTTCTAAACTATTTTAGATTTAGCCAAATGCTTTGATATCATCTGAACAGTAACTTAGTTCATGTATTCTGGAAACTCTTTTTTAAACGCATTTAAGATATTCAATTTCAAAACGTAAAAACGACCTACTAAAGGGTAAGTTAAACAAATTTAGCAATTTTTCTGTTTGTGTCATTTACATTCATTTTTGTTTTTATTAATAATGAATTGCCAACAAAAAAGGTTTACCAAAAACTACTTTTACTAAGGAAAAATGTGTGACTCCCATGCTATTGGTGGTGAAAGTTCTGAAAAAGTTATGTTTTTTGATATATCGTATAGATACAAGGACGATACAATGGATTGGATGGCACCCAGTATATTTTTTGAGAATATCGTTCTAAATAGAGAAGATAACATAAGGGCTTTAGTAAAATTAGTGTATTTAAAAAGGGGCCTGAAAAATAAATTGAAAAATGTCAACAAAAGTACAACACTCTCCCCTAAAAACAACGCTGCACGCATGAGTCGAAAAAAAACCTGAAAGCTGAAAAGTTCAGTGTTGATGGGTTTATCTAGAGTGCACTTTTGGTGGAAGTGGAAAGGGTTCAGGATGGGGCCCTCCAGCATGAAGAAACGTGGTCAGATAGATCTCTATTATTCAGGGTGTCCCGAAAACTGTAGGTATTTTTCAAGACACTTAGCTCGAACTGGTGAAGATTTTTTGAGAGCGAACAGATATTTCACTACATTTGCTGTACACTAAACACCTTTTTTTGTTTCCAGGTGACACGATGTAGATTTCGGTAAGTTTGGCTTTACATTTTCCCTGGATGATGGATTTTTGCTATTGATGACATGTATTTTATTATATTAGTGCATATAATATTTATGCGACGAGGAGCGACCGAAAAGTGTCTGGATTCTGTATTGCGTTATTTCAATTTCTTGTTTTAATAGGAATATTGGAAGTAATTTGGAACTTAGAAGGTAGTTTGTAGGATTTAGTGGTGCTTGCCTGTGTGAATTACATTCTAAATTAAAGAGGTGATTTATGCTCAAGAGGAAGTTGTTCCATTTTTGAAAACAAAGTTTTTTGCTCGGTTTTTCAACTTTTACAATTTCATTTCATACTCAATTATCTTCTAAATTTCGATATCGATTTTTTGGTGCGTAATATTTGTTAATGTTTAGCGACTTTTGTTGTATTTCAGCCTGACTTTAAAAAAAATCGTCAGTGCTCGATGTAGAACACCCGTAAATTTGGTTCCTCTTCCATCAGCAGCTTATGCATAATATGTATCTAAACTTTGACTTTATGTTTTCCTTGTCACTTAAATTTTAATTTGCTGCTACTTAAATAATCACATGCCTTATTGCAAATACGTTTTTCAGAGCATTGCAAAATTACAGGGCGTTTATTTGATTAGTTCCATCTATATAGCTGCTTATAATGCTGTTGAAACCTGTATAAAACCATTTAGAAAGCATGTCGATAATTTATTGCTTAATTGACTTTAAATTAGTCGCATGCTTTTGGAAAAATTCACTGGTAAAATAGCTGCAAACCGAGAAAAAACGAAAATGGTACATTTATGAGCACTTAAACCAGATGATATGCATCAGAAAAATGTGTGCGTGGGAAGGAATCTAACCGCTAAGATGGCGGGTTTTCTCATTGAAATAAACGACTAATTAACTGTTATTAAGATTTTTGAATCGCTTCGAATGAGACGTCTATAGTCATTATTACCATGGGCTAACTCGTTAAGTGCTAGTGTTGAAAACCTATCGACAGATATGGTGGTACTATAAAAGTAAAATTAGGATAACTTCCACTGCATTTACGTTTGAATCGGTTTTTTTATTTGAACTTCATTACTAAAACAGATCCCAGGAGCGCATTTCACGCGAAATAACAAACGTATAATCATCAAGCATGTGCTTTATGTGCTATAAGCCTGAGTAATCCAAAGCAAACAGTATTCTTGGAGTAAGTGACGCGTTATTTGTAAAGTCTATGCCAAAGCGTCCAAAACTTATTGAAAAAATGAATTATAAACGATGCCACTGGCATTTAGATGAAATTGAAATTGTTACTTCACAGGCAGGTTTGCTCACTGCAGCCTATCAAAACACTTCCACCCTGTATCCTTTAATTTATAATGATCAGCTTTATGCAAGACGAAAGTTGCCTGCAGCTAATCGATTAATATTATAATAAATGAACATCTTTTAGCTTTAATTATGTCTGGTCCTTTAGAACTTCGGCCTTTCAACACGGCAAGACTAATGATGCTCTATTGACAATGACATTATTTAGTCAATAATTATCTAAAAGTTCCCATTGATTTATCATTCGAAAAAGCACTCATTCCCATCTATGTCCGAAACGGTGAAGACCATGAGCTGCATTGATTGGTTTCAAACAGTCTGATAATTGTTCAGATAGTTATGCATATGACAACTGTTCATTTTTAACATCTGCTTGATGCTCAAGTTTTTTAGATTTTTGTCATATGTTTTGTCAAACTGTAAGGTTTATTGTTTTAAGAATAATAGTTCCTTTCTTTGCCTATCAGTATATTAATGAGCTTCTATTTAAGATAAAAATTAAAACAATAATAATACACTTCCACATTAACTTTCTCTATTTTCATTGCATAATATATGTCTATATCCAATTATGCTTAGCTGCTTCCTCCACTATATACCAAACCTTCTCCTTCATAGGCAAATTAAATGTTTGAGGTATTCCGCCAGGTGCAGGTTTTTTATCTGCATCTCCATTACTCGCACCAGCTTCATTGTTAGGGTCCCATTGAGGCACTTTACCAATGGGTTTTGGGGGTTCCGGCGAACCAAGTATTGGGAACAGCATAAAAATGCTGTGATTGACTTGATAACAGCCTTCCAGTCTCAACTCTTCTTCAAAACTTTCAAAGGAAAATTCTTTAGTGTTCACTTTATATAAACTCAACGTATTTATGAATTCCTTGTAGTAATACTGCAATAGTTTGTCGAAATGATAGCGGAGAACTGAATTTGGAACACTGGAAAATAAAAAAAATATGAGGTCACACACCGGAGAAGCGTAATCGATAACTTGAAAATCGACAAATTTAATATCCTGAATCATTCCGTTCGATTCGCGGACCATCACATTGTTCACCCAGAGATCATTGTGCGTAACACATGCCCAAGGCTCTCTAATTTTCTTAATTCTCTTTTTACTTATGGCGTTTTGTGCTTTTATCGCCAAATATGCGGTATTTGGATTTTCCTTTAAAATTGGTTCCACGTTCAGGGGTTCGGGAAACGCTGGAGCTGTCCATTCAGCCAAATAAGGCTGGACCTTTGAGCTAAATACATCAGGCTTCTTCTTACGTAGGGCAACAGTGGTGGCTTGGAAGTTGGCCAGAGCTCTTAGAACGGTTTTAGTGGAGTCCACATCAAATCCTTTGTATTTATCAACGGTGAAGAAGCCTAGAACATGATACTATTATAATCATAACCATAAGGTCCAAGAAACATTTTCTTGTGCTATACAGTATGTTTTAGGAGAATCTTTCTTAGAAATTTCGGTTGAGATACTAAATGTTTTCTCGATCAGATTTATGCAATACAATGTAGTCAAATAGTGATAGACCTTTTACATGCTTTTTTTTGTCACCTGGCACTGAAAATGAAACCTGGTGTTCACTTTGAAAACATATTTTTATGTATAAGCGTTTGTTTTAAAACGTTTTTACCGTTTTGCATACGTTTTACTTCTCCAGTATGCCCCAGTAACCTCTTGAAGGGAATGAAGCCAATTTGAAATCACCCAATATGTAGAATGATCTGCCAATGTCGTGAACTCGTTTCATTCAATAACTTCTAATGGAAATATTGAAGGCACCATTCGTGTGTTACTAGGCCCTTTATTCGAGTGATTTAAAAAATTAAGTTGCTATTGAGATAAGAAAAATTTGCTGATGTCAAATTTTAAATTCTGGATAAAAGAAACAATTACTTTATCGATTTAATTTCAAGTGTTGATGATTGTCCTTAAACAATTTTGAAGATTCTGAAACATTGCTTGTTAATTGACTGGGATTATTTAGAAAATAGTAGACCATTTTATTAAAATCACATCCTATTTCATCAGATCTAGATTTAGTTTGGTTTTAATATCAAGTTCAATTCAAGTTCAATTTAACAAAAATATTTACTTGAATAATCGGCACAACATTGATTGAAAAGGCAACAATTTTTGCGGAATATTTAGGCAGAATATCTGAAGTTTTCTCCTTTTCACATTTAAACGATGATTTATTAGCTGAGGTTTATTAGCTAATTCCAGGTATTTAAGGGGTTTTGATGTAGGTATAGAAATTGACACATTAAATAGGTACGATGTTATTGAATGAGAAAAACAGATAATCTGGGTAATCGTTTTTTAAATAAAAATATGTCAAGGCTACGTGCTTGCAGCATAATATCAATCAATATTTTGATATTTTCATCAAACGACAAGTTTAAGTACATTTTCACAAGGTACGTATGTATTTTGTAATGCATTTAAATATATTTTTCAGGCAATTTTATAAGGACAGCAATTTAAACTCTTAGCACAATTTTTTTCTCTTAGCACAGATGCTAATGTAAAATACAAATACACATATTTTATCAAAACTGTTTGTGAACATAGAAAAAAGTGGAAATATGAACTTATGTAATCTAAAGTATTAAATGCTCGAACTATACCCCCATTGAAAATAAACAAGTGTTTTTTCACTGGTTTCGTGAGAAAGTGAATCAATTTTTATCCGTAATGTTATGAGTGGCTCTTGTAATATTTAATGCCAGATCGCGTAATGCATTCAAGAATCTCGAGCATTCTATAATTTCGTGGGAATAAGATTTTTTTCAATGCTTACCTTTAACTTTCAAATTTTCCAATAATAAAATGGCGTTAAGATCGACCACTTTACTTTGAGGATCCAAACTTATCCGGGCACCATACATTTCAGGAAAATATTCAGTTGGTGCAACGCCATGCTCTCTTTGAAACTTCTGCATTGCTGGTACGATGTCCGCATAAAATCCAATTTCATTCTTAAAAGTCACTTGGGTGTTGAAAATCTCCAATTGTACTTCCGACGATGGTATCAGTTTGCCCACTCCATGTACTTGTCGTTGTTTGCCATTTTCTTCCACTGTGACATCCACTTTGAGTATTTCACTGCCAAAGTTCTCACCAAAGCTTGTTAATGGTGTCACTTCTTGTTTCACAATCTTTCCATGTAGAGTCGGCTTTAAAAGCTCCTCCAATTTTGGAATAAAAGTCGTATCGTCTTTAAACTTGGTAAACATTTTCGAACTAAATTCGACTATGCTATTGGGACGATGAGTCAGTACCTACTAATTTTGTTAACCTTATCATCGATTGGTAGAGAATCACGCTCCCAGATTTTGTTATTGACCGTATATAATGGCATTTTTAAATATGATAAGATATTATACACTGCATTACATAATAAATACTGTTTGGCGAATATTGAATAGGAGAGTACTTTCGGTAATTATAATCGGACTTCTTCTCTTTGAAATTAATGCTTGTAAATGTTCTGTAAGTTTTTAGTATATTTATTTCAATGTATCTAATAATCCATAAAAAATGGCAACAAATAAATCTTTTATGAATTGTTGAAGTTTCCATAGCATATAATATGTTTGGTGGTTTAATTTTTAATTTATTGCCTTCTCTTCATTATTTTTTGTTGTATATTTGCAAGTGCGATCAAAATAGAAGTTATTATTGTACGCTTTTATAACAGTCGGTTATCTACCATTGGTCCGTTTACGAAATGGTAATTTACCATTTGCACATGTAGAATTCGTTAGCAGAAGCAGTGTATTTATTGTCATTTCCCGTTGTTTATTATCAATACGCTTTTGTCATAATTGACTCGATAGACTACGTAAAAATATGTGTAATTATATTCTACTTCAACTGTTTCAACAAATGATAAGCTATGACCATTATTCAATTGATCAAGATGGAATTCCAATACTCATGATGATTTTTAGTATAATTGTTAGTTAGTTACCGACTAAATTTTAGTTATTTTATACATACAATTATTATATACGACAAATGTTCATGCCCTCTATTTCAAATAAAAAAAATTGTACTTGTGTCCATTCAATGTTTGAAATGTTCATTAATAAAAGGCAAACTCTTTAATAAATGGGCTGGTCTCTTTGCCTTTAATGGGGCATTTGCAGTACACAAAATAATGAACTCTCTAATTGCACATGTATATTCTAATATGTATCTAATATTTAGATCATATCATATTTTTTGTAGGTTGCGAAAATACGATAAATGTTTGTTTTTTTATGTTAGAAACGGTGTATTTGGTTTTTCTTTGTAACCTCTTGAAAGTGAAAGTTTTGGTATGGTGGTTGTTTGTTATAGAAATAATTGTTCCAATTTATACAACTTCATTTTGGCGAATGTATACAATGAACATCTCTTTTAAATGCTGCTTCCATTGCTTCCAAACCGGATGGGTTATCTTTAGCAAAAAATATTTTATTAGACATTCGACTACTAAATATAGTGTTTGGGTTAGTTTCTTTCTTCTGCTACGTAAATGAGTATAAAACTGTTTAATTCCCAAAATACAGGGTGTTCGAGATTTAAGTAACACGGTGGAAGATATTTTCAAGTATTATTTCAGTTCATTAAGTTCAGTTCATTTAATACGAAATTGTCGAATAGTTGTCGAAACGGACAAACGATCATTTTAATAATTCCTTTGAACTGTTTTATGTATACATATAACACATTTCAATTCCTTCAGAAAGTTTGATCGACCACTCAACATATAGTCAGTTTTGCAACAAAAGTTACTTCTGGCACTTTATTTTGATTAGAATTAATTTGAGATTTATCTGTGGAATTTCAATTATAATTTGCCAATTCACTGTGGAATCCATTCAATTGCGTCAATTTGTTAATTATGATGTAGCACTCAAGGTTAGATGATTTGAAATGTAAAATATTACATTCAATTATAGTTTCAACGTATCCAGATAATAAAAATTAGATAGTGTTGTAGACATTTTCTGCATATAATGAGTTAAGTAATGACGCATAACTGCTGCGAATGTTTGAATAAGTTGCTCAAAATTTTTAATTTTGGTCAAGTAAGAATTGTTAATAAAACTCTATTATACAGCCATATTTATTAACTTCTGACCTGATTCACAACATATACCTATACATATGAAAATTATATATTAATGATATATTTGGCGCGTAATAAGCTTCAAAGTGCTTGCAAAAACTGCTATTAAATTTGCAATTAAAGGCCTTGGTTGATTAAAAATATGCTAATTACTTTTCAAGATACGAGCACCTTTTTGTACGAAGCCGATAAATAAAAGAGTTAAAAAGGCAGCATGTTTACAGCTAAATTATCAGACCAATTATAAGAAAATTATTTGCGCATTCCACACATACATTCCTCAAAAGAATGTATTAAGCTGAATATTTCAGCAATATAAGAGAAAGTAGCCGCCTGGAGTAAGTTTCATGAAGGATTTTATTGTGATGTGAATGAGTTTTAGTGAAAATCGAGATAGTAAAAGTCCTGGCTTTACTTCGGCTTGGCCGATGCAAAATCTTGATTTAAGCCCATTACATTTTGGCGTTTGGTTTACTTCTAGGCACATGTGGTGATTTCCTAATATACATTATTAAAGCAGCGAATGTTAACGATATTTTTTTAAATGAGGAAATCAGCTCAAATGTATCTGACAATTAAAACACTGCTGGAGACTTATGGTTAAACACTTTACTAACCATTACTCATTTAAATATTTTTTCTTTTCACTGTTGCGATTTGATGGGATCTTGCTGGTTCATCAGAAAATATTCGAAAACGGCGATTCATTGAGACATGGGCAGATAATTTTTTTTGTTTGTAACACTCATAGGATAATGGACTTGGCTGATTTGAAATCATTTTTTATTTTAATTATTAATTACTATTTTAAAAATTAAAACGAGGTATTTGGATTGCTCAAGCTCAAAGACTCATGCCCAAAATTCCCTGTTTATCAAATGATGTTAAAATATCATTATCATCAGCAAAAAAATTAAATAAAACTGACCCCCATTTAAATCAGGTTACACTGTGATTTTGCTACCTGGTCAAGTGACACTTTCTCATCAATATCCTCTAAATTCCAGCGGTTTTATATGTAAATACAGAAAAGGGGCAGGTAAAACCCGAAGGTATTTGGAAAGAAGGATCTCTGTTGGTCATGTTACTAATCAGAGTGATAAATCTAAACAATTTAGCATCGTTATTTTTGTTAATTAATTTTATATATTATATATAATGTTCCTATATGAATTGCATAACATCCAGATTTCCTACGCGAGTGTCATACTTTTTGAGGATAAAAAGATTAAACGTCCTGCTTAGAGTTTTAGGAATGAGACTGCTTTCGTGTTCCTTTTCATTCAATTTCCTTGTTTTGCGTTAGTTTATCTACTTAATTATATTTTTGGATTATATTATTCATATTAGAAAAAGGGGTCGTTTTAGCTGTATTCTCATATAAAGTAGTTTTTCTTAAGCATCAATGAAACTTTGAGCAGAAGGTGATTTTGGGAATAGGGATTTTGTTGAAGCATAATTAAATTTGAAAAAACAAATTCCTTCTATTGAAAAATTAAAAAAATTGAGTCATTTTCATTATCTCACTGATCAAAAAAAGTTTTTCATTACATGGCCAATTGGCAACACCAACTTCGATCCAGATTTCTTTGTAAAATAACTGAAATTAACAACGAATTCAAAAAAATGTATTGCATATCATATCTTCAATCTACTGATTTAAAACACATTATATCTCTGCGGCAAGTCCTTTCAATATGTAACTATATTGGAGATTTATTTTCTCTAATAAAATAACCTGCTATGTGTTATTTTGATAAATGTTCTCGATTCAGTCGGTAGTATGACAGGTGAATAACGTAGATCCTTCTGAATGCTTGCAACCAGATTGAATTATGCGATTGTTAGAATATCACGCTTATTTTATTTGGTTGGATGCATTGGGGAATGTATAATCGATGTGACAAACAGGAATTGAGAAACGGTTGTTTAGTATATTACCAAATTACAATTTCCCTGGTATCGATTAGTATATTTTATTGAATGCCTGAAAAATTCTAGAAAAATTGTGCTGCTTTCGAAGAAAACGTGATATGATAAAAATTCTTAACTTATTTAAAGTAAATGATTTAACATTCATTGGCTGAAACGTCGCTGTTGGTAACAGAAAATCACTATTCACAATCTATTACATTTTGAGGAAAAATTGGTTTAGTTGAGTTTTAAGTATTTCAAATTTGAAATTTTCCTACGAGTTTTTCAATAGCTATACGGTATTTACTCCAAATGTTAATTGTGGATATATTATTTGTACATTTAGCTGTCATTTTAAATTATAATTAAAGTTAGAGATAATTATAATAAACAAATTATATATTTTTTAATCGGACTTATCGGGAATATTAAAAATTTCTTATGAAGGCGGTAAAATCAGGGTTTTACCACACCCATGGAAATAGTTTTACTTATTTCAACGGTCTTAGCGATTAGATTAGTTAGATTAGAGTTAAATCATAGCACAAAATTCTTTAGGCGTTTGGTGAGGTTCATAGATTTCACTTATTAGATACTCTAGATGGTGTTGCTTGAAAATAATCAATCCCCATTATCATTGCATAAACTCAATATATTATATTTGTCTTTGTTGAAATGCTGCATTCAAAACATTCTCACCATTTGCCATCTGGAAGTAACTACTTGCACTTGCTATTTGCAGAAATGGTTCGTGGAACAGAATGAGCAAATTATTTCTTTAATACTTTTAAATATATCAAATTTTATTAAGCCGATGAAAAAACTGTACATTGATTGGTTTGTCACATTCACAGCAAGAACTTATGAGCAACTTAAATTCAGCCAGTTTTTATGTATCTCAGGTCCATGAATATCAATAAAACCGCTTACAGCTGCGACCTGAAGTTACATATACATATGTAACACCTTATGTCGCAAGATCAACCTATTCGAACGTATGAATCGTTGTCTTTTCTTGTGCCTTGACGTCAGTTCTTGAGATGTTAACTTTGCAATTTTCGAGAACAAAAAATAGTTTGAGCTTGACTACTTTAGATCAATAAGTTCTAAGTTGATAACATATTATCTAACAAGAGATAAGAATCAAAAGAACGACGTTTAACATAGATCAAATGGTAATTTTTAGATTGATTAACTTTTTTTTGATTGTTAGGTTCTTTTGCTTTATTGAGGTCTAATATTTCTAATGACTGAAGAAGCAAAGGCTAAAAGGAATGTACTCGTTTAAGTAAACGATACCTTTTAAAATAATGCAACTGAGTCAAATTATTGGAACATTAACCAAACTGATTTTTTATTTTTACAATGGCTTTTTATACCGTTTCTGATACAACATTTTTATTCATAAATCAACACAGATGATAAACGTCTGGAAGGCTGTTTCCAAATTCCTGCAAGTGTCGTCAGGGTTTAATTCGGTTCAACATTAAAAAATCATTAGGTTTTTTTCTAGATGGTATTTAAATGCTTGCCGTAATAAATTGTTTTTAATTTCGTATGCTTTCATCCCCTTTTCTCCTAAATCACGTCGGTAGTTATCTCAACGAAAATTAAATCCGAAACCGGAAAAGTGCAGGAGAATTTGTATTACCGTCCGTATATATAATCGCAGTTTTTAAACGGAGATCAGGTTTTCTATATAGAACTTTTGGATTTTGTAATTTCGGAAATGTGTTGGATTATCCGAATAGATTATTTACTTTATGGTCGTCTGTATGCATTGTACTGCAGAAAACTAACTATGAACTTTCTCACAAGATGCGTATAGTCTTGGTTAATTAAAAACCATCACGACAATCTTGTCATCAGCACTCTTTTCTAAATGGAACAGAATAAATAGGAATAATGTTTGGGCATTGCGGCAACGTAGTTACGATAAACACAATTATTAACTGCTCAATTGCCCTTCAAGGTTCAAATATGTTTGCCCATTTTGGCCGGTTATAACTAACAGCATAATGTTTATTCAATATTTGATGGAAAACTCTTTTAGTGGAACCTGATCTGTTTGCAAAGAGATTTTTAATATCTTACATAGTATACACAGTATAACGTTTTGATGTTAGTGTAGTGGCTGGAATATATTGCTTGTTAGCTGTATAGTTGGCAAATTGAAATGTTAATCTTTTTAACCAAACGGAACTAATCAGCGAGAAAACAATCAGCCCCGGAATGACATTGTGTAACGAAAACCATTTCAATCTCATCTTTATACCAGCAGGTTTTAGTAACACCTCAGTTACGTACTCACAAAGAGAAATTAACAGTTAATAAACTACGGGTTGATTTGGGCAGTTATTCAAATCACTGCTACAAATTAATGGTTCTACGGTGCCATACAAATTCAGATTCCGAGTTTTAACTGCACCGCCGTCATATAAGTTTCGAATAAATAAGACATTCAGTCGATTATAAATTTAAATGCAATCGATTGGTGGCAATAAATTTTTCCCATCTGGTATAACGCGTTCCCGATTGGTTTAGTTTAACATTTCTTTGGGATTGCGGCAATTTATTTAACATTAATCATTTGGGATTTGGAAGCGTTATGGAAATTGTCGGGATGTTTATGACGAGATAGGCTTTTAGAACACTGGGGTTTATGTTGTGCTTTTTTAACTTAAATTGTACTTTTTGATTAGACTTTCTTGAAATTACATTCTTTAAGATAGCTGCTATTTCAACTATGAATCTTTCGATTAGTTTATATGGTTAGGAATATCGATTTCCAATGTTAAATCCTTATTTAGGAAGAAACTTGTTTTACAGTTACAAACAATACTGGCAAACAATGAATCAATACACATTCGCTTTACAAGTTAATGAAAATTAGACTTCATGGATATGCAGAAAAATTATGCAAAACTAAAATTGAAAATTATATTTTGTATTGTTCTTGTCCGAAACGGCAACTTTGAAAACTAAAAAATGTAAAAAACTATACTTGAAAGTGGTAATAAGGAGACCAGTGAAAAACTGTTCAACTTAAGCGCGCCTAATTTAGGTGCAAAAAAAGTTGCTAGTGCTTTTCTTAGTTTCTCTTTTCAAGTGTTTTCTTTAAATCTTAATCTCTTTTTCATCTTAATCTTAATCGTGTTGGGCACAGAAAAATCTGGGCACAGAAATTTTAAATTGTCTAAAAGAAAACTAGAAAGTTATTGATTATGGCATAAGTATAATTAACTAAAATTCTGGTGATTCGTTTATTAACTAATTTTCTAAATTTAACTGAACTTACATTTGAAATTCAAGTTTTCGATTCCTTTAGTTTAAAATACATTTTTGCACAATATTTCTATATGAATGTTAGAACTCTAATATTAAGTTGCAAGAATTAAGTTATGCGGAAATACCTGATTCGGATGGGGGTATTATAAGTTTGATTGGCTATAGGATTGATATTATGTAGGATACTTTCAACATTTTAAGAAAGATTTCATTTTCCGCAAATGTTCATTTGATTCATTTGATAAAAATTTACTATTCAGAACACCATGATATGGGGTTTATCACATTTCCTTTTCTACATACTGCTCCGAAAGGTTCGTGCTCAAAAGTATAACAAATGCGTCAAACTGCATGATTTTCGATTAAAATTGGTAGTTGAATGATTTGTTCAAATAATAGCTACGTTTGTTTTAATACGCATATCCCTCCTGCCGTTTTAGTATGCTCACTATTTTTCACCTGATTGGTTATTTACTTTTTAATTTTTGTTTCAGCTAAGTCCATTTATTAATCTACTGAAGCATGTTCTGATGTTATAAGAGTATAATAATTATTAAGGAAAGTGTGTAAAATTATTCATCAAGCATCGTACTTTCAAAGTAAAAGTTCTAGTTGTGTTTTAAGCGAAGCAAGATCATCATCTTGTATTAATATAGCCATAAAATTTCATCATATTATTAAATGCGTTAATTTCTCCAACAAACTTTGAGGCACATCGAGTGCTTGCTCGCTACAGCTCGCCATTTAAACTGACTTATTTACGAACATTCTAATTAATTAGGTTGAAACTAAACTGCCAGAATTTCGTCTAATGCACCTGCAGTTCCCTGTTTAAGCTTCGGCTTATGAGATTAGAATCGTTAGAAAAATTACTCAACTATTTGTCTTGCTTCGTGACAAAACACGAACATCGCAACCCACAGAACAGTTCTATTTGTCTATAAATTATTCCGACTTTGTTACAACCGATGTAGACAGACATAATTCATACAGCTGAATTTCCACAGATTTTATACATAAAATTGGTTGGGTGAAGCATGTGAATGCAATAAAAACGCTTGTACGGAAGATTGATTTTGCTTGTTGATCAACATCGAAGCCTATCAAAATGCCATTATTTTAAAGATGCCATAATTAAACAATTTACGAGCATTTTTCGTCAAATATCTATGTTTGTTGCTGTTTGCTTTTTTTGATTTGGGCACATTTCGGTTTCTTGGACGTCGTACACTATTTATCTGTGAACTTGTATCAATACACAGACTAATTATTTGCACTCTTGATAAATAGTACTGTTTTTTCTAATTTAAGCCTTATAAACACAGTCTTTTTTTGATAAGGTAAATAAAACTATTAAATACTCAAATTTAGACTTTTATAAAATTTCAGAGGGACTGGATGTGGTGAATATATTAGTTGTTGATAAATTAAACATAAAACAAATTGCAAACTTCTAAAAATATATTTTAATGGGATCAATATTTTACCTGCAGACCAAATAAATGAAACTAATATCCTAGAGATGACTTGAAATTAATGTTTAACTGTTTCCAATAAAGCATTGCATATATGAGAAAAAACTGCCGAGGAAGGATGATGCTCTAATTTTAAATATTGAGCCAATAAGTCATTTCCGCGTAATGTTTGAAAATACTAAGTGAAAACTGAAATGCGATATTTTGTGCACCTGTTTCCATTGCAGAATATCGTGCCTTATTCAATTGATATTTTTAGTCTTGATAATATGCATTGCGCTAAATTACAGCTGTTATTTTTTGAAGACTTACCTTAGTGTGCTTGCAAATTATGTATTTTTGACGCTGAAGTATTTTAACTCTTTGGTTATCCCGATTCAAAATATGTTAATATAAAATAAAATACCTCATCCTCATTGTCAGCGGGTATCGAACGACGGTTTAGCCCCGCATTTGCTGTTTCCAGGGTTCTCTATGTAAAGTATAAGCCCTAGCTTTTAGATACTTTTAAGTAATTTATAAAAAACCTGTTTCCAACTAAACTTCTTCAACTTCCCAATGAATGTATCTCCTAACTGTATGTCAGTAATATCGTTCGCTACTACTCTGCAAAAGAAGTATCATCAAGTCTTTCGACATATCTTTATGAGAGTGTCAAGACCACGGCACTCCTGTTCTAAACTAAATTAAGAACTCGAATCCCTTGAACCTTTTTCCGAGTAAAAAAACTTCCAATTTTCCAGCGCTCGTAAGTTTTAATTTAGTTGTTAACGAAACCGAGTTTAAAGTTGTTTAGAAGTACTATTAGATTCCTGCCTCAGACTTCTAGCCGTTGACAAGTCCTGAATAGCTACGAAAATTAAACTTATTATTATAGATGGGGATGAGATGATGATTTTATCCATCAGACTTTCAGGAAGGGCTGAAAGAAAGCTTCGCTGATTTTTTGTTCAGAAGCGTCTAGTCAAGAAAAATAAAAAAAAACACATTCAACTATTTAGGTAAACATTTTTCACATTTGATTCCTCTCATTCATGAAATCTGTTATGATATACAAGCATTTGTTCATTGGGTATAATGGTGATATTGGACAAATGGAAACAAGAAATATCTTCTACATAATACCTATTATGTTTGTGAAAAAATGTTTTATTTTTATATCCGAAGTATTTTCATGAGTTACCTTTGCGCAAAGTGTATGAGTTATCTTGCATTCATTTTTTCTTTATTATTTAATATGCTGTTATTTAATTGCGTTGTATTTAATGAGCTGTGTTCTAAGAATTTTGATGAAATATGTCGATTCGTTTGGTGGTCGAAGCATCATCTTCCATTGCTACAATAGTGAAAATTATTAAAGGATGAGACCGATTAGAAAATTAAGCTGTTACCACGAGAATCATCAACAACGAAGCCGGGATGATATTGCGAATAATCTAGCCGACCTAACCATTTCTAATGGATTTTCGGGCTAAATCAATCTCAAGCAGTCAGTCAATTGGCCAGTATTAATTTGGCTGAAAAACGCAAAACATTTTAAAAGCAAATTGCACACGGGATTTTTACTGACCACCTTGGCTATCGGTATTAAACAATGTGCAATGAATTTGTTCAATGTGATAACCAGAATGTTGAAAATATGTACCGTTTTATATAACCGTGCTTTTATTCTAATTAGATTTCACAATTGGCCATTTAATTTTTTGCATTATCACGATTGATATATTAATGGCATACTAAAACATGAAACGCGTTACCCTCCAAATAATGCAATAAATCGATTATAAGGCCATCCAGGTCACCCAATGAATGAGTTTGCTGATTCGCATGCGGATCGCTTTCAAATTGCATTAGTTATTCAGTCCATGTTACACAAGATAAGGAAAAGTTTTTCAGTTACGTCTTAGTATAACACGGAATCTTATATGTTATTCGTACCAGCCCGACTATTTTCCAGAGAACGATCCCTCCATGGAGCTAATTTTCAAACGTGAGGTTACGCTCCTGTTGGAATATAACCATAAAAAAGTTTCAGTAATTTTACTTTTACTTGCTTCAGTTTTACTATTACTTAATGAACTAACTTGCATTACTTATTTGCTTATGATGGTGTTCCATTGTGAAATTTAGCGTAGGATTTTTTTTCAAAGGGGGTGCTTTCAGCATCACATGTAAATTTACCGAAAAGCTTTCCTCACGGGCACGCATTAAAATGTTTCGGTCTTTATTCGAAGGCGTTTTTATTCGCTTCATGTTTAAATTGTTTAATTTTTAGCATATTTGTACTGTCGAATTTAGTTAGTCGACTTGTTTTTTACTTTGCCACGCTTGTGCTATGTCGTGGATATGTCTTGTAGCAGCCTATCAAAGCTGTTTGTATTTTAAACATCCGAAGTTATGTATACAGTTTAATCCATATCATTCCATTCTGTACCCAATAAACACATGATATAATGTGTTATTATTCATTCTTTCTCATATTTCTCGAAGAGTTTTCAAAAATCCTGAGTTATGTCTCCCATTTCTTTTTTATAATTGCATAGGAAAACATATCTGTTCTCTTTAAGAGTCGTAGGATATTCATAATTTCCATGTCATATGTATCATATGTACGTTGAATACCACCGTTTCTATATCGTTTCCTTTCTTTATTACATTTTTTATTCTTCCATTTTTTAATGCTTTATTGTGGCAGGAAGTGCACTAAACGTCGTTTCGCACATTTGTAGATAAAATTAAGGTCTGCAGCGCGTTAATAACAGAACTGTGTGAGACATGAATATGACTCAAATTACTGATGTTTTTATCGTCTCGTTTCAAAAAAGTCCCCAATATATGCGAATAGCGAAATTGTGGGCAATCTAGCCAGTCAAATTATTTTTATTAAAGCTTCTGATTCGAATATTTTATGTAATAATTTATTTATGGCTGCATCCTCTTCTTCGGCACTTTAATTTTAGTTTTACAAGCTGATTATTACTTTTGTTTTTTTACTATTTTAACTGTAGTGCAAATTATATTGAACGGAATATTATTAATTTGCCAACTAGGAGCCACACTGGGTTGCTAAGGTGTAATTGCTCTGTGAATGTATATTATAAATATTGTTGTTTGTAATATTATTAAACCTTGACTGTGTGTCGTACGTACAATTTCGTTCTGAGTTTAAAGTGCACAAGTTGAAATTCGTCAAAGTTAAAATCCAGACTAAAGCAATAACTTGCTGATTTATCCATTTTCCGCGAATTCCCAAATAAAATAAGGCACACATTTCTGCTCCATATCAACGTAGCTGACTGATTCTAGCGCTCACGTCAGCCCTACAAATAATAGATTCGTGTTTCTTTGCCGACATTTTGTCGGGGATCACGAAAATAAGTTTGTTATATGACCTTCTTTATATTCTTAACGTATAGTTGTTAGAAGCAGTTCACTTAAAATGAGTTATACTCCTAATGCTAGGAAGGGTTGGGGTAGAATTGAAAACTCAGGTTCATGGGAAACACTTTAGATGCCAGTTATTTTTCCTAATAATCAGTTATTTTTCCTAATAATCAGTTATTTTTTTAGTGCTTTAAATATGTTTAGAAATGTACGAAATGTAGAAACGTTATAAATAATTAAATAAATGAGAGGGAGAGGGTGTGCAGCATTCTTTCGTAACGAAATGTGTATATGAATCAATGCATTTACAGGGTGAGTTAGTTTATAGTAGCAGGGCTTGGACTAATGGCTAATGGTCGATAGAAAAGCTAATCATAAGATGAAAATATAATTCAAACATATATTGAAAACTGCTTCGTTTTTGAGATACAGGGTGTAGAGTACTACATCCAACCATGTCCAATTTAATTTTTTGCCAAATTTACAGACGGTGCCTCATGGCACTAATATTTATTTTTCAAATATTAATAACTGTTTTGTACCTACCTGCATAAACGTGATTTTGAAATAAAATCATTTTTCGTTCATATTTATGTTAGAAGTCGGTAACAGAACCGTTTTCGAGAAATTTTGCATAATAACAGCCAAAAATAAAAACTTTTTATTTGCAAATTCAGTCACCACAATGTAACAAACTTAAAACAATTTCAAGTCTGAAATGTCTTCGCCTAAAATTAAATGTTTAAAATAAATTGGATGGAAATAATGGATGTGGTCCCAGAATATAGAATTTTATTACAGTATCTTAAGATTTGCCTATATTATTAAAAAAAAATTACCCAATCACCCAATTCTCAGAAAAGAAGTTTTCCATATACGTTTGTATTATATTTTCATCCTAAAAACGGATTTTTTATCGTCCGTTAAAGCTCTAATACGTATCCGTTAAAGCTCCGCTACTATGAACATGAAGTGACTCACTCTGTATCAGGATCTTATACACACTTTGCAAAAGCTTGGTTCGTTTAATTAATGTTTTCATATAAAATCCGCAAAAATAAATCCATGTTCACCCTTGACAAAGTGCCTCTTAAGTCGCACGCGAGAAAAAACTCTGACAAAAAGTGATTGTGTTTTTATAGTCTTCTAAATTATGAATGATGTAATCTCGAAACTGCTTTGTGCTTCAAAGCAGGGCTTTAGGAATCCGCAGGTGCAAGTCGACTATGGGTTAGCCTATTTAAAAATGTACACCTAAATCTAAATTTCGGTTTAGAGTAAACTTCGCTTAATCCCGGATGAACAACAAAGTATAGAGCACACTATATGTATACCTGAAATCCTGAATTATTCAGCTCTCGAATGATTTTCGTAATAGAATTTTCTATTAGATTTTCAGGTGTGGGAAAATAAGCGTCGGAAATAGAGCAATGTCTAGCTGCAAGTTTTGCATATTTTGGCAAGAACATTTAGATTACTCAATCTCCTAGAGGATAACTCTGTACATTTTGTTCATCGACTTGCTCGGATTTTATTATTGGTAGATCAAGAATTGTTCTGAACAATGTATTTTGTCTTTACTTTCAAGCCAACTTCTTTGCTTGAATGTTTTCCGAATCAACTATCAACTTACTTAAACTCACACGCGAAAGTGCATACTTTGTCCAGTTTGGCAACCACGGCTCTTTTCCTGATGGAGTTGCATTGCACAAAGCAACAAAAGGAGCGACTGTTCCATTTTCAAAAGAAACTTCTATCACATTTCTTTTGATATCGTTCTGTTTGGTGAACTTCGCCCCTTTGAGCTTTGTATTCCTAATTAATGTCCGGAGAGCGAAAAGGTAATGAAACTTGAAAAAGTCAGTATTTATAAAGTTTTAATTTAGTTCTATAAGATGATGTAAATTTCCTCGATCAATTCATGTAGTTCATTAGGTCAGGAGAGTCAGAATTTGATCGCTATTTATTACTGTATTATATTTTTCGCTGCCTGAAAAATAAAGTATGCTGTATTGCAGATTCGAGAAGAAACGGTTTTAACACAATTGCTTTACGAATAGGGAATGCAGTTTATAAATAAGGACTCGACTAAATAATCACGAAATGTAGCTCAAGTAATTTGCAAAATTACGAAAAATATGCTTATGCTTTAATCTATTTACATGGCTAAACCGAGTTTAGAAAAACGTCAGGGCATTGGATATGAAAAAGAATATAAAAATACTGTTAAAGCAGTTTTGCAGAGTACGGTAAGGCATGGCGGTTGATTATCGAATTCCAATTGACGAATCTGAAAATTTGCCTTTGGCATATATTTCTGAACAAGAAATAAAATGTATCGTTAAGCTTAACTACTCSATATTGAAAGYTTCTGGTGAACATACTTCKTCTGGTATGAATACCAGGTAACTGTACTGTAAGGTTACCTCTTTGTAACTATTTGAACCACAAAATGTTCTTCATGTTTTTCTTGGAATATCCCTTTCTTAAAGTAATATGTATTTTTCATTCTGGCGAAACGAGATTTTCTATAGCTGATGTCTTCAACAATTGATTGAGGGATAATAATTRCTAGAWACTTGTCTAATATAAGAATTTTATTAAATACAAGSTGGTAATGTGGAAAATRGAGGTTYACGTTTAWTTGTTTSCATTTGTTGGCACAGGAACAAATAAAATACGTTYTTTCTATGTAACCACCCAAAATACTAAATACGGCCAAAGCCAACTTTTCTTAGTTGGATAGATAGTAGTTGGATTGAAAATCAATCTAAGTTGGATTTTCTATGAATATGACAATAATTGCTCCCTTTTGAAACCCTGGAAATATGACTAGATGCAGATTGTTTTATTTGGCTATTTGTTTACCGAATATTCATTTACAGCTATAACAGTTTATCATTTTATGACTGTAAAACGCTGGATGATCGATTTTGTATTCGGGTTCTTACCAAGTCATGCTACACATTGAAAATATGCCCCATTCTCCCCCAAGAATCTATTATTTTGCTTCCACGTTTTCATCATGGGGCGAAAAATCGAGAAACATATCAAAACATCATTAGTAAACCATCAGTCATGTTCCACATGTTGTGCGGTTTGGGAGGAAGTTATATTTTAATACTTCAACATCTTTCATGTGTCAACGATCTGCTTCCACATCGAAATTTGATTTGTAAAGATACTTTTATTTCGATTGTGCAGATTTTTCTATTAATCATCCAATTGGTTTCTAATAATGTTTTGTGTGTATTAGTTCACTGTTCAGTAAAATCTCCGTTTTATTATTGGGAACAGTCTAAATTAGTTTTTCCGGTTTTGCAATGATAAATGTGATTTATCTGTCTTCGAAAGCCCAGTATAACATAATAATTGATTAAATTTTTGAATTTCTAAAAGACTTGTTTTTACCAGAATTCCTACGTTGTCAAGATACTTGGAACTGCAAATAAGTTTAGACGAAAATTCCGGTACATTGTGGTACATATGCTGTTTCCCTAGAGCCTCTTTACTTTTCTTTTATGTTGTAATTGAATCATTAAAATGAACATTTGCAACTGGTAAGTTTGAGTCGATAGTAAGTTTCAAAATTAGTTTCACTTCTTCTAGCTTTCACTATTCGAGTATTTATCTTAAACTTTTGCGCAGATGATTTTCAGAATATAACTTGATTTCCGTCTTATTTTTTCTTTAACTCCATTCGTATTTGGAGTTGTTTTTTCGTTCATATACTTAATTGTGTTAGACGTTACCCATACCCAATCAGTTAGCAAACTACAAGCACTCAATTGGTTGCTTACCTTTCATCTAATTAAAAATATTTAACTTGCCGTTCTTACTCATCGCATTTTTTTAGTTTTGTTATGGTAACAATTAGAACAGATCTAATAAGAAACAAGCTAATAAACTCCCGTTTATTTGAATCTCTAACCAGCCTGACTTATATCGAGGCTTACATTTTGGGTATCATGTAAAATCTATTACACCGATTATAAACTCTACCGTTTGAAGCTCGGTTAAATAAAAGAGTGAAGTTAACAGCTTCCATTCCCATTCAAATCGGACAGTTAGATCTTTATTTAATTTACCTGGTGTGCGATAGTTCATAAAATCTCGATAACGATCCATATGAAGTCTGCCCATACAAGACACCATAAAACTATGCAGGCACGGCAATATCTAAAATTTTAAGACCACCTACTGGCACTGTGCTTTTCTCAGCTTGACGTAACATTTCAATTATTCATATTGACATAAATTAGGCCTAAACGACGAAATGTCGGCGGTAGGTGCAGTGAAATAGAGAATAAATAAATGTGAATATAATACTCGATAAATATAAAGAAATAGTTGGAATTAACCATAGGTAGGAAATGCAATTTAATTCTTTATTAACCGCTTATTCAAAATCTACCTAGCAAAGTGGAGGATTTAACTGAAGGTGCTTGTACTCAATAGTGGGATTGTTGAATGGGAAAATCAAATCAGGATGTGTCTCTTTTCTTCAATTTTTACCTTTTGCTGTTTCATACCAGCTGTTTATATAAAGATGTACCTGAATAGATAGGCAACGGGCGTCTAAAATAGTGCTAGTGTTATAAGTACGAGATTTTTTCCCCTCAACCGTGTAATAGTTTTCTGAGAAAAAGGAAACTAATTTTTTGGATTTTAATATTTTAATGGCAGAAATTGAAAGAGCATGTTGCATATAATCACATCGTTCTAACATGTACTTCTGAATTTCAATGTCACTAAATAAAAAAATATATTTTTTTTATATCACTTATGCCAAAAATATTGTACAAATGGGAATCTAAAAAAACAATACACCATAATACTAGACACGCTAATTTTGGATGCTGATGCATCTAATCCATGTATGTATAATAATAGTTTATTTTTGCTCTTCAGCGTAGAAGAAGCATCCCGCTGACCAAGTGAAAAAATCCTGTTTCACAAGATCACAACAAACCTATTCCCAATATCTTCCACTTTCAAAGTTAAGCCCTATAATTAGATGCAAATTGTGAAAGCGCTCTCCATAGCTGTTCAGATATATTTGCTTACATAATACACATTTTGAACCAATTTCGTACTAGTATGGTATTTTTAATTGAACGTAATATTCTCGTTACTTTCTTTTTTTGTAATTTTCTGCTCTCTTAAGCACACATTTCCCTCTATAGACTAATATCGATTCTCTACTGTAACGCTATTAAATGTTATACTCATAGTAACTAGTACATTAGTATGCAGATTTTTTATCAGGGTTGTTTACTCAGGAAAACAAGCCTTTATATCAATAAACGCTTTGCGAGTAACACGTTTTCTAAGCCTGTTGATTTTATTATCATTTAGATATGCCTAAGTATAACTAAGGCAAAATAATATGGATATTCTTCACGTAAACACAAAACAGAATCCTCGGCGACGTATTTGCTATCATAAAATTTTCCTCAAAAGATGTAGTATTGATCATTAGACTGTCTAGTAAGACAATTGCATTAAGAGATGCAAGTAACATTAGACAACGGTATTAATCAAGCTGAATGAAAATCAATCAATCTATGAGAACAAAACAGGTATGTTTCCAAACCTACCGAACGATTCGCAAACACTATAAGGTAATTAATTAAATGCTCAATTGAATCATAATAGCACTATAGAATTTGTTAGTGGGTACCAGCCAGAACTTGCTAAGGGTTTTTCTGCAACTAAGCGAGTTAAGAAGTAAGTGCTGTTAGTAGCAATCAATCACTTTGATTTCTGAAGCGCTGTTTTCGTAAGTTGAAAGCTTCTTTATAAACTAGGCTTTTATTTGCCCACTTAATTAATTTTGTTAATGACCCGGTCCGGCTGCTTCGGGCTGTCTATTAATCTATTACATCCTGAAACCTGGTTTGTTTGAAGACCCTACAATTAAAATAAACGAATCGGGGTTGCGTAGGTAGCTGTTTTTGTAATGAACTAAATGTTAAAGAATCGAGGTGTCGAAACACGAGGAGAACATTTGTCAAAGTGTGGACTAGTTGAATAAGTATTAGGGTTCTTATAAATTAAGTACGATCGAATTGAGTTGCCATTAGAATAAAAGGCTAATGTTATTCTTCAGTAATCCGTTTTCTTTGTGTAATTTTCTCACTTTATTGAAATAGTTTTAAATCATTAGTGACTCTGTCTACAAACTAAATGTATCTCTACAATTCTTGTCCATCGTATGGTGGCATTAAATTTAAGAACATTCACATTTTGGTATGGAGATCAAATTTTATTTTTTGACAACCTTTTCTTCGGTATTTTGTCCCATTTTTGTCTTTGAAACGGACATAATTTCCTCAGGTCTTCCATTACAGATTAACAAAATGTGCTTATGTTTCACAGGAATCTTTTTTTATATTATTTATTATTTCAGAAAAAATGAAAGTTGACGAGGTAAAAATGAAAACTGCTTTTTACATGAATCTTGGTGAAACCAATTAGAGAGCGAAACTGTTCCTGCGCAAATTACTGCTATTTTCGGTTGGTAGTCACAAAAGAAAAGCCTGAATACACGATGAGCAAAAGCCATAGAAAAGCCCCACTAAAATAAACAGTGCTGCTGAAAATCCTCTCCGTACAAATAGACGTTTTAAGACTGATTGCCAATGCTTTTGCATAAGAAGGCTCAGTCCTGATGGCATAATCCTGTCACGAAGAACGATCCTCAGCAAAATTTAATGAATATTTAATTCACTAGTAAGTGATTTCCAGTAGTCAGGCATCATTCGAAATTGCCCGTATGTGTAACATCCCGAGTGGAAACCGTAGTAATCGAAGCAAGTGTTAAATATTGAATGTTAATAACTTTATGCTTCTCTTTCGATAACTATTATTAACTGACTATATTTTCCTGTATAAATTTCATCTTTATATTAATGGTCATCATAACCCTTAATATCTTCAGTGAATTTGAGTATCTATAAAAGACGATCTTCTAGTTCAAATTAACAATTATTGTTGGAACTATAAACTAAATTGGTTTCTTGATTTTGTTCAGCCTTTTGCCAACGCGAATGAACAGAAAATCAATCTATTGAAACCCTTAAGTTAAAAGCTTCTCAGTGTCATTTCGGTGCTTTATTTTCGAGTTAGCGTCCTGAATACGGGCCGGTTGCCTTTGAAGTAGATATAAAAATAAAAAGCACTTATCGAGAAATCATCGACGGTTTACCCGCCCTTACGTAATATGGCTTCTCAATTTATCGATTTACTATCACTGATTTATGGCCTCATAGTAGTGAACAGTTAAATTGGAGCAGTCAGCTCAAGGTTTTTTTTACAACTCGTTGAGAAAAGAAATACTTGGGAAGTACAATTTTTTTAAGTTCAATGCACATTCAGTGCAAGTTTGAAGTTATGTAAATTTCTATATTTATTTATTGTTGGATTGATATATATAATATAATGGTTAGTTCAAAACAATTTAAATATTTATTTTTCCGCAAGAAAATGTATACACAGTTACAAAATAGCACCTAACTCTGCAGAGGTATTTGGACACTTACGCCGATTAAACATTTAAAATAACACGCAATATCGTTTCTGCTATGATCAGCATAATTTTCATATGAAATGAACTACAGCAGAAACGAGTATTCATCTATGTATTCAGTCAAAGATAGTCTATGGTTAGGTCAGTTTACTCAACAGCTTAAAGATAGTCAGTCTACGGTTAGGTTCGATCACATACATTTAAAATCCATATTATAAAATTGTTTTTTAAAACGCAAGTTTCAAATTAATCAATAAAATTGTAGGCAGGCCAGTAAATGGCATGACAAAAAAAACAAATACGTAGAAACGAAAGCAAATAAGTATGAGGTTCTCTTCAGATTAACTTAAAACCCAAATATTTCTATAGGTTGACTTATTTTATCAAAATTTAGAGTTTGCTTATATCTTTAGTTATACAATTACTTAACAAAACAAATTTTAATATATTGGATTTGATCCAACTTTTAAACTTATTTTTACGTGGCGCATTAAAAAGTTTCATAACTTTGAGGTCATGACGGTGATTAAATACTTTTCTAATAATATATGTTTTGCTCACTAATTATGGAATATTATTATATCCTTTGTTACACTTATTCATATATGACAATATAATATATTATAGTACGGTTTTGTGAAGTTTATGGTCACAATTCTCACGTAAATTTGTATCTAAACTATATTAAGAAGCACATATGTTTGCAGTTTCCGCAGAATCAAATTTTTAATTTACCAACTCAAAAGTTTATTTTGCAGAGTTCAATTAAATCAAAATGTCTACTGCCGCCAAAATTATAGCGATAAATATCCTAATGTGTGAAACTAGGACTACCCACATATGCCCTTTCCTGTACTGAATAATAATCCGAACATAAATAAATTATATTGTTGTCTATTTAGTTCGCTAAAATATTCTTAAACACAGCTGCATAAGGCCCCCCAAATATTTTCAATTAAGTCTAATATCGGCATTTAAATCACTCAGAACCATGTCAGTTTTAATAACATTCAAGTATTCAAATAAGCAATTCAACGACTTCTAAATCGACACTGCTTTAATTGGAATTATTTTCAACACCAGTGCAATTAATGTGAATCTCAATCGTATTCCTGATTATTATATATATCGTATTATTTAATAGATGTCGAGACATAATTTACATTCTGTCCTGCATCGGCAGTTTCATTCAGCATTTCCTATGCTTTTATAATAATTATAATGAAGCAATATTGGTAGTGATACGGCTTAGGAAAATACTAAAAGCAATATAATAAATATTATTTCCAAAGTTATCTCCAACAACGAATGTACAATTTTACGTACCATGTGGTAGTTAAGTTAATAAACGAGTTCTGTTTCAATTACAGAAATAGCACTAAAAAGAGAAATAAATGGAACTAGAATTGACTTATAAGATTTTAATTTGACTAATTAATTGCGAGTCGTCTGTTTAGGGCCACTTAAGATTCCGTAAAGTTCACGAAATATATCGCATAATTTAATTAACTTCGTTAAATTTATTATTCAACCTTTCTAAATTGGTTAAGATAATTGAAGAAAGGATCAGAGTGGCCCTGGCCATAAAATGTGACTTTTTAGTTAAAAAATATTATGTTATTAACATTTTGCAGTAAATGAGCTTGCTGGCAATGAGTTTAGGCATTTGGTTTATTCGGTATAACGATTCCGGGAGAAACAGTTCTTCGTTGAACACTAAGAAAAT